ATTCCCTTTGGGCCTTCTAGCCCGAGACCCCCAGGCCGGCCGGCGCTGAGCTTCCCGTTAGCTGGCGGGCCGTCCCCGTGACTCCGTCGGATTTCCCGGGCGCTCCACGTTGAGCGAGGTAGGACACGATGCGCCTGCCGCCCTGGGACACGGGCGGGCGAGGAACAGCCCTGGGAGGCACTGCTCTCATCAGGCTGCTGGGATTTCAGAGCAGGAGCAAAGCTAGTGCATGAGATTGGAGAACCAGAGGCGGCCCAGGCAGCTTTGGGCCGTCCCCGTGACTCCGTCGGATTTCCCGGGCGCTCCACGTTGAGCGAGGTAGGACACGATGCGCCTGCCGCCCTGGGACACGGGCGGGCGAGGAACAGCCCTGGGAGGCACTGCTCTCATCAGGCTGCTGGGATTTCAGAGCAGGAGCAAAGCTAGTGCATGAGATTGGAGAACCAGAGGCGGCCCAGGCAGCTTTCTGCAGGCCCAGCCTTCCTCTCCCCCTCAGCACAGCAGCGGCCCCGTTTATTGCACAAATTCCAGGGACTCTGGGGCCACAAATCCGGCCCCCCCCAACCTGCAAGGAACTGAAAGCGCCACATGGTTACCCACAGGCAAGAGTCTTTCACAGACAAAGAGTCAAATGTGGCCATTTGCCTGTGACCGAAACAGCAGGTTCTGAAAACCAGAATGAAACGGGATCTGGAAAAACGAGCGGGCAGGGCCAAACAGGCAACTGATGCATCAAAGTTTTAGTTACAGGGGGATAAGGGCAGTAGATGGGAGTCGGGACCCTCGGGTTCTGTTCCTCGCTCTGGGAGCAATGGCGGCCTAGTGGCTACAGCAAGCAGGATGCCTGGGTTCTGGTCCCAGCACCGCGTGACTGTAAGTAAGCATCTTTCCCTCCGCTATCAAGGTGTGGGCCCAGGATATCGCTGTAGAGATCACATCTCTGCAGCTCAGTTTTGTGTCTACACTGGGACCTAGCACAGCTCTCTCCACTGTGTTATACCAGGCTGTTCCACGGTCACACGGGAGGGAGAGCCAGTGACTTCATTACAAAACAGGAGGCGATGCCGGTCCAGCCGTGGCCCCCCGCCCCCTGCTCCTACCCCAATGGATGAGCTACGAGGCCAGGATGGAGCAGTCGGGGAGAGGCCCGAGGTGGGAGGAGAGATCCCTGAATGGGAGAGAGGAAGAGTGAGAAGCAGCTGACTGAGAATGACCCAGAAAAATGAATTTAAAAAGGCTAAAGGGGAAGTGGTGTTTCCGGTCCCCCTCGAGCCCCTGCCAGCTGTGCCAGCCACCCACACAAGCCTGGTGCTACAGAGCAACTTCACAGACATTTGTGGTTAGGCCGGAAGTAGCTCTCCCCCCTCCCCCCGTGGGAATCTGAACACCAGGGTTAACATGTGACTCTTGCAAAAGGGGCCCTGGAGTCTTTGGGACTAGGCTTCAGCATCCCCTGTGAACGACAGCACGCCCAGCCCTAACGGCGTCTGGGGGCAGCATTCTCATACGGGCAGAGCACCTGCACTTCTGCAGCGCAACGCCCCCAAGCCCTGCCCTGGGGCACTGGGAGAGCACCCCTGCACTTTTGTGCAGCACAGCGCCCCCTAGAGATCATTGGGGTCCGCATTGACCGTGAGGGCAGAGCGCCCTCTGCTGAGTCACTTGCAGCACAGCGCCCCCTAGGGATCATTGGGGTCCGCATTGACCGTGAGGGCAGAGCGCCCTCTGCTGAGTCACTTGCAGCACAGCGCCCCCTAGGGATCATTGGGGTCCGCATTGACCGTGAGGGCAGAGCGCCCTCTGCTGAGTCACTTGCAGCACAGCGCCCCCTAGGGATCATTGGGGTCCGCATTGACCGTGAGGGCAGAGCGCCCTCTGCTGAGTCACTTGCAGCACAGCGCCCCCTAGGGATCATTGGGGTCCGCATTGACCGTGAGGGCAGAGCGCCCTCTGCTGAGTCACTTGCAGCACAGCGCCCCCTAGCCCTGCCCTACGGCACTGGGCTCAGCACAGAGGCTATGTCTAGACTGCAAGCCTCTTTCGAAAAAGAGCATCTAGACTACTAGTACTTTTGAAAAAGCAAGCTGCTTTCTCGAAGGAGGGCACCAAGGCAGTCTGGATGCTCTCTTTCGAAAGAGCACAGTTTGCATGACATAGCGCCTTTTTTCGAAAAAAGGCATTATTCTTCGTAAAACGAGGCTTTTCACAGCCGAAAAAACTGCCGCGTTCTTTCCATTTACGCGGCGGCAGTCTAGACGCAGGGGAAGGTTTTTCGAAAAAAGGCCACTTTTTTCAAAAAAACCCTGCAGTCTAGAGTGACAGGAGCAGAGCTTCTCACCAATACGTTGCTACTAACACGTTCCCCAGTTGCCTCCCAGCCCCACTCACAAGTCACCCCTACACTGGCCCCACCTGAGCTACCAGAATCGCTCCCAGAATGCCCTCGCCTGCTCCCACTCCGGCCAAGTAAACTAAGTCAGCTCGATTGCTGCCAAACCCTAGGCTCCTGGCTGCTCCCTGAGGAGGCTGGGTTCAGACACAGGTCCCAGAGCTGGTTCTGA